TTGGTCGAGTGCTGTGGCTCACAGCAACCTCAAACTCTCAGGCTCAGGCAATCCTCTGCCCTCAGCCTCCCAAGTACTGAAGATTACAGGTACCTGCCACAGTGCTGGGCTATTTTTAGAGATGGACTATGGCTGTTGCTCAAGCTGGTGTGGAACTCCTAAGCTCAAACAATCCACCCATCTTGGCCTCCCAGAGTGCTAGGATTATAGGAGTGAGCCACCATGCCCAGCCTTAAGATTATTTTTTAATTTCACGGAATAGACTGCCTATGTGTTCTCAATTGGGATATTTCTGGCCACAGGCAACACTCAGCCTGGCCTAAACAATAGTAAATTATTTAATGAATTTATTGGTTCATTCCTGTGGTTATGGGATGGGTCGTTCCTGCTCACAGCACTTAAGCCTACACGTACCCACTTCTCCTGGAGCTCCAGAGATCTCTGACCTCTCCCCATGGCTCTCCCTGAAGAGTAGGGAGCCTGCTATTGCCAAAACCTTCGGTGTTTATTTCCTCAGGTCTCCTTTTCTGAATCAGTTGCTGTGTACTCGGCTTCTTACGCTCTTCAAGGCCTCCCATGCAATCTATTAAGGTTTCCCCAAAGAAATTGTCTGCCTAGCTTTGGCGTATACAAACTAGTCAAATCTGGATACCACTAAGAAATGGATAGGGGAGTGCCAGGCAGTCAACCAACAATGCCAGTACTTTTCCCTGAGTTTATGAAACCAAAGCTGTGGCTAATTGTAGAATGGGATGACTATATAGGTCTTATTTTAGTATTTCTGAGACCACATTCTTTAATCACTACTACTTTATCCTAAAGACTTCACATTAAATTACCTCATTCCAATGCTACTTCAAGAAGCAACCCATTACCTTTCCATGTTAGAACAGATATTGCATATGAAGGCGTAGACTAGATCTGCTGTGTGTTGAACCCAGTGGAGACTTCATAGAACTTAGCAGCATTTATTCATAGTTTCAAATGCAGTGTTTAGACACTGGCCTAAATATACTTTGGTCTATTTTGCTTCTAGAGTTTTTCTTTTTTTAAATCTTCATTATACTTCATTATCTCCTACAGTGAAAACATATTTCAGCACTGTACTTAGTTGTAACTTCTCAGTGCAAAGATTTACTTGTGAAATATAAAGTTTAATATGACCAAGCCTGAGTGCCTTGAATAGTTGACAAAGTCTCCGTGCACAAGGAATGGGAAAAAAAAATAATTTTTTTTTTTTTTTTTGAGACAGAGCCTCAAGCTGTAGCCCTGGGTAGAGTACTGTGGCATCACTGCTTACAGCAACCTCCAAATCCTGGGCTCAAGCGATTCTCTTGCCTCAGCCTCCCAAGTAGCTAGGACTACAGGCGCCTGCCACAACACCTGGCTTTTTTTTTGGTTGCAGCCGTCATTGTTGTTTGGCGTGTGGGTCTGGATTTGAACCCGCCAACTCAGGTGTACATGGCTGGCGCCTTTGCTGCTTGAGCCACAGGCGCCAAGCCAAGGAATGGAAATTTAGCAGACTGTCAAAAGGAAAGTAAGTTGCCAGGCACAGTGGCTCATACCTGTCATACTAGTACTCTAGGAGGACAAGGCGCATGGATGAATTGCCTGCCTTCACAGGTTCAAGACCAGCCTGAGCAAGAGCAAGACCTTGTCTTTAAAAATATGGCCAGGCATTGTGGTGGGTGCCTGGTCCCAGCTACTTGGGAGGCTAAGGAAGGAGAATCACTTGAGCCCAAGTGTTTGGAGTTCTTGTGAACTGTGATGCCATGACACTCTACCCAGGGTGACAAAGTGAGACATTGTCTCACAAAAAAAAAAAAAAAGGAAAGGAAGATAGTAAGATTCAGATACAGCAAGAGCTTATGCCAGGCTGAGAGGATAGAAAGAAGAAAGGTTTGGAGTTGACCAGGGATGTATTAGAATAATAATCCAACATGTATTTAATTGGCATATTTAGAGGGGCAGATGTCTATAAAAATAAAAATAAAATGAGAGGCTTGTTGTGATGGTGTACTCTTGTATTCCCAACTACTTGGGAGGCTAGGGCAGGAGGATCACTTGAGGAATTTGAACATTGGGCAACATAGTGAGGCCTCATCTCTAACGAAATAAAAAATAAAAGATATAATGAGGGAGAAGTTTGAGGAGGTGAGTAGAGGTTTGAAGAACCCCGAATGGTATATAGAGTCTGGATTTTATCCTGTCAATAAGAGGAGGACTACTGAAGGGTTTTTTTTTTCCCCCTTTTGGTGGAAGTAGGATTATGTGTGGAATGTCAAGTTTTAGAAAGATTCTCCTGTTCACAGTCTATGGCAAACATATCTTACTCTATAAGCCTATATCTTGCTCTTTGTAAACCTTCCTCACCATGGGTACAGTGCCATGTCATCATTGTAGCTCACAGCAACCTCAAACTCTTAGGCTTGAGCTATCCACCTGTAGTTCATAAGTAGCTAACACTACAGGCACCTACCACGATGCCTAGCTAGTTTTTCTTTTTCTTTCTTTCTTAATGTAGAGATAGGGTATCACTCTTGCTTAGGCTGGTCTAGAACTCCTGAGCTCAAGCAATGCACCTGCTTCAGCCTCCCAGAGTGCTAGGATTACAGGTGTGAGCCATAGAGCCCGGCCCAAACCTACCTTTCTCTTCCTCAATAAACTTTGTTTCAGGAAAGGAGGGGAAGGGGGGGGGAAAGAAAGAGAGAGAGGAGGGAGGGAGAGGAAGGAAGGGAAGGAAGGATTCTTCATCAGCAATATGCAAAGTGGGTTAAAGCCAAAAAGAACTAGAATCAGGTCATTTAGAACCTATTGGTTGGGCTTGAGATGAAATGAGCAAAACAGGTGGCAGTGATGAGAACTTAAATAATAAATGCTAAAGACATGATATGGTGAGTAGGATTTCATGGCTGTCCATGTGTCAGGGTACAGATCTAAGTGAATGTAATTTAAGATCGGGGGTTGGTGGCTTGGTGCCTGTGGCTCAACAGCTAAGGCACCAGCCACATACACCTAAGGTGGTGGGTTTGAATCTAGCCCAGGCCGCCAAACAACAATGATGGCTGCAACCAAAAAATAGCCAGACATTGTGGTGGGCACCTGTTGTCCCAGCTACTTGGGATGTGGAGGCAGGAGACTTGCTTGAGCCCAGGAGTTAGAGGTTGCTGTGAGCTGTGATGCCACAGTACTCTACCCAGGGCGATAGCTTGAGGCTCTGTCTCAAAAAAAAAAGGGGGGGGGGGTTGGTGGTAAGGTAGACATTTTGCAGAAAAGATGAGTTCAGTCTTGTGTGGACAGCATTTCAAAGTAGCAGTAAGAGGGGGTCGGTGCCCGTAGCACAGTGGTTATGGCGCCAGCCACTTACACCAAGGCTGGCAGGTTTGAACCCGGCTCAGGCCAGCTAGACAATGACAACTGTAAGAAAAAATAGCCGGGTGCTGTGGTGGGCACCTGTAGTCCCAGCTACCTGGGAGGCTGAAGCAAAGTGGCAATAAATATCCAGCAGTAGTTAGGTATGTGAGACTGCTACTCATTCTTCCATTCAGAAATATTTTCTTCAATGTCCATGTTTTATCCAAGTGTTATAGTAAAAACAGGAGATAGAGCAGCTACCAAGAAAAAATGTTCCTATCATCATGAAACTAGCAAAGTTATGCAAATATATTCTGTTAAAGGAATAACAGAGTGGGATTTAATTCAAAGTAATGTGAGTGGAGAGAGGTGTGAGGAGGAGCATAGTTAAAACAAGACTAACAATAAGTTGATTGTTCAGCACATGAGTGATTTCACCTGGTAGAGTCATGGGGCCAGAAGGGATTTTGAGAGCTCATTGTTCAACCTTGTATGAAGCACTTAATACAGGACCTAGCATGAAATTGCCCAATCGGTGTTTGTTAGTAGTTGCTGAATCTCAGTGTTAGACACATCAGGGTTCATCATCTTATTCTCTTTACTATTGTATATAATTGAATTTTTTCATAATAATTCTTTTCTTGGTTTTTGAGATAGAAATCCTGTCATTGGCTTGGTGCCTGTATCTCAACCAGCTAAGGCGCCAGCCACATACACCTAAGGTGGTGGGTTTGAATCCCCAGCCTGGACCTGCCAAACAACAATGACGGCTGCAACCAAAAAATAGCCGGGCGTTGTG